CTTTTACTGTGAAGAGAACTTTATTAGAATAAATAAAACAAGCTGAGCTCTGCTGGGACACAGAGGTCATACTAATGTGTGAGCCAGCGAGGCTTTTCTTGCATTAGTAGGAAAGATAATAATCTGAAAATCACTAGCATCTGGGGTTGGCTTGATTTAAAATGCACATGGATATGAAGAAGGCCCCGGGACATCTCTGCATTTACAGTGTGCCTACAATAGTCAGTGGAAGGGCCCTTGCTGCTCCCGAAGCCCCGCTGGGGCCGGCGCTGGATCCTCGAGCCTCCATCAGAGCAGAGACGCGGTTCTCACCATCGGTCCTAGTCCCCCCTCCACGGGGAGCCCGGGAGCAGACAGGCCCCTCTGACAGCAGCCGCCTCCAGCCCAGCCCTGCAGCAGCTGGCTCAGGAAAAAAATTTTTTAAGGTATCTTTTTAAAAATATATATGTTTTTATTGATTTTAGAGAGAGGAAAGGAGAGGGAGAGAGAGAGAAACATCGATCGGCTGCCTCCTGTACCCCCCCTACTGGGGATCAAGCCCAAAACCTGGGCGTGTGCCCTGACCGGGAATCGAACCGCGATCTCCTGGCTCCTGGGTCGACGCTCAGTCGCTGAGCCACGCCGGCCGGGTCTGGCTGGGCCCAGCTGGGCTTTTGAAACGTATCTTGACCTAGGAAAGGAGTCTGGTTCCAGGTCCCACCCCCTCACTTGGCTAAAATTCCAGGGAAGAGCTTGACTTCTACTGGCATCAGCCACCTTCTCTGTTTTAAAATAAATAAAAGTTTAAAGCATTTCCAATCTTTCAAGTGCGGAGGGCGTGACTGCTTTCATCGTGAGGGGAGTGAACAGGCTGCTTCGCTTTCTGCGGAGGGGAGTCCCTGGGTCTCTGAAGGTCCTTCTGGCTCTAACGTCGAAGCTGCTCTGGTCTTAGATTTTCTTGGATTTTGAAATTTTTAGAAAAAACAGCCCCGGACAGGGGCTCTGAGGGTCTCGGTAGGAACGGGCACGGGAAGCGTGTAGCCGCGGCGCGGGCAGCCGTGGGTTGTCCCGGGCGCCGCCCTC